GGTCTTTCCTTGCTGCTTTGTTCAACTTTCTATAGTCCACACATATCCTCAACCATAGTTGTTCTTGTCGGCACTAATTCATTTTGTCATTTGTCACCACCGTAATACTACCCTTCTTTGGAACACATTGCAGTGGACTAACCCAATTGTAGTCCAATATAGGATATATAATTTCAACATCCAACCATTTTATAATCTCTTTCTTAACCACTTATTTCATGATTATATTCAATCTTCACTAGTGTTCAATTGAGCTACTGTTGGGATCATTCAAAAGAATTTTGTGCATGCAAAATGTTGGACTAATGCCTTTTATATCAGCGATGTAACATCCCAAATCAAGGCCAGTGACTAAATTGTAAATGTTGAAAATTTTATGCTCGATTTCGAAACAAAAGTTTAAGGACTTAATTGAGAATTTTATTCAAGAGGATTGATGGGTAAATATGAAAAGAGTGGAAGGGTATTATGGTCTTTTTCCTTTAAAAGATATTTTCCCCTTATATAAGAGTGAAAAACATGGGAAGAGAGCTATCTGGAAGCTTTCTTCTTCTTGCTTTATATTCTTCACGTGGGGTTTAGCTACAAAAGGTAAGTTGGATTTTATGGTTGTTTACTTGAAATATTAAGTGGGTTTTGATTCTTTGGGTATTAAATAAGCTTAAGGAAAGCTTATATGGGATTTAAACAATAAGATGAAGGTATTAAGAAGGAATTTGTAAATGAGTTTTAAGATGAATTTTTGATATGGTTTGGTTTTTGAAGTTTTATTAATGAATTTGTCTTGTCATCAACCTAATTAAGAGATATGAAGTGTTAGAATGGGATTTAGAGCAAGTGGTAAAAATTGTATGATTCTTGAAATCCATGTAGATGATAGGATTTTGAGATTAGAGATGTGAGAAACGGGTATTAATGTGTTTGAGCATGTGTATGTGAATTAGAAATATGAAAAAGATGAAATATAAAGTATTTGAGTGGAAATGAAATGATTTTCGGGTTGAAAATAACCATTATGGACCTAGTGTATCGGTACCCTTAGGAGAGGTATCGATACCTCATGAGTTGAATATGCGTATTTGTATGAGTGTGTATTGGTACACTGGGGAGTGTATCGATACCTTCAAAACATCGAAAGCCATTTGTGTATCGGTACACTGAGGAGTGTATCGATACCCTAAAAACATCGAGTGTTATTTATGTATCGGTACACTGGGGAATGTATCGATACCCCAAGTATGAATTGAAATATAGGATTCTTATATATCAAGATATTATGATTTGATAAAATTGAGATAAGATTGATATTAATTCTAAATTGTTTGTGTAGTGAGTAAACGTAAGTGAATTTCTAGTTAACTTAGTAATTAGAATATCGATATTCATTAAATTTCGTATTAGTGTAGATATCGATCGGAAGCAAAGTTCACATAAACTATCAGAGTAAGATTCGAGAGAGAGAACGAGAGCTTGATATTAGCAATAAACCAAGGTGAGTACATGATGATAAGAGTAAGTTATGCTATGGAATTAAGACTTGTGATAAGTCTAATTCCTATATTAGGTTGCATAAGTATGTGAATATAAGCATATAGGGATATGATGCTTAGATATATCTGAGTTCATGCATATGTTAAAGGTAAGTGCATTTCTATATGTGATATGTGTGAATACATGTATGTGTGATTATGTCTTGTATGTATTATATGTATGTGATTTATATGAATATAAAAGGATAAAACGTAAGAAAATGAAAAGATATGAACCATATGATATGAACTATACATGCTACATGATATAATGAGTTTTATGAGAAATGATATGAGCTATGTGATAATATGTTATATAAATACAAGAACTTGTGATATGAGATATATGATAAGAAGATATAAGACTCCAAGTGAGTATTACACGATAGATGTGACAAGAAGCCACGAGCTTATATGTGTATATGATATGAATATGTGAAAGTGTGATAACATAAATCATAATGTCCATGTTATGTGTTATGAGAGCTAGGGGTATGATTGGCATGCCAAGAGTTGAGGGTTCTACGTGGTCTTTCGGGACATATGTGTTCTATGTGGTCCTTCTGGGACATAGTGGTCCTACGAGATAAATTCTACGCGCCCCTAGTAGGAATTATATGAGCTGTGGTGACAGCATATGTGCACAACCTCTATGTACTCACATACCTTAAGTTCTCAGAAGTGTGCATGTGCTTTAAAGAGAATAAATAATTAAATATGATGATATGTGTGTTCCTCGTGAAATCGTATATGTGATATATGACATGAATAAGTGATAAGTTAGGATCATATGATAATAATGATAATAAGTGCATATGTGTAATTGTGAAATGAGATGCAATGTGTTTGGGTATGATATGTTCATGTTAAGTATATGCTTATATGATAAAAATGAATTAATGATAATAAAATAAGTAATGATAAGCATGTTAATGATATATGTATATGTGTGTATTGGTTATATGAAATGATATATGTTTTTTATATGATATGATAGTGTTAATTGTTTATGCATTGACATGAGTATAGTAATATTACATGGTTTTCATGTCTCACTAAGTCATCGACTTAGCGTGTGAATGTTTCACACGTAGGTTTGGAAATCGAGAAGAGAAGTAATACGGAGCAAGACAGGTCAGCATCTCCCTTACTAAGATCAGATCGGAAACATATTGAATATATGTATTTTGTTTTATAAAATTTAGTTGGCATGTAGTTACAAGATTTGAATTTAATATGTTCTGATCGGGTTTTTGTAAAATAAATTGATTGTATTTATTAATGAAAAGTACTCATTTTCTTAAATGATGAATTTAAGATTTGATAGATTTGTAAAGAACAGAGTTTTAAAAAGTCAATGTGATACTTCGGACTTGGATCCGGGTCGGATACGGGTTGGGGGTATTACAAGTGATGCTCCATACAATAGTCTTTTTATGCTGCTTCAACACATCAATGAGCTGGGCTTCTTATGATGTTGTAAGTTGTGCTACCACAATGACTGGCAATGTCTCATTTTCTCTAAGATAAACATATTTCAAATGCTCTGGAAAAGGTTTCAATTCAAGTTACAGTGGTTCTTCAATAGATGGCTTTGGTGCTTGAATGATATGATCATATATTTTCACGATTCTATGCTCTCGAGATACTTGCTACAGTATTTGACTTCTTCATCTATCAAGAATTCTTCAAATGTTTTGAAATCACATAAATCTATATATTCACTATAACATTCCTCCTAATACTCTTGTGCAACAATGACAATCACATCAAATGAAAAACAATCAACATTTTATTGATATAAGAAACATTATTCAAGACATTAAAAGTGATATGTTCATCTTTCAAGTGCATAGTTAATTCTCATTTTCCAACATCAATCAAAACTCGGCCCGTAGCAATGAATGATCGGTCGAGAATGATTGGAACATCTTTGTTCGCTTCACAATCCAAAATGATGAAGTGCGTAGGTAAAATAAACTTGTCCACTCACACAAGCATGTTCTCCACAATACCACTAGAATGAACGATAGAACAATCAGGAAGTTGCAAAGTAACCGTAGTATGCCTTGCTTCGTCGCTTCTAAATTTCCTAAAGATTGAAAAAGGCATTAGATTTATGCTAGAACCTAAATCACATAAGGCTTTACATACAAATGTGTAACCAATGTTACAAGGAATAGCGAAACTCCCTGGATTCTTAAGCTTTGGTGGTAATTGACTTATAGCCATAGTGCTACAACCTTCAGTAAGAGTGATTATCTCAAATTCATCAAATATTCATTTCTTCGAAAGAACTTCCTTCATAAATTTGATATAATTTGGGTTTTTCTCTAAAGCATCAATCATTGGAATGTTAATTATTAGTTGGCGAAGGACATCAATAAAAGCTTTGTATTGATGATCTTCTTTTGTCTTCTTGAAGCGATGTGGAAATAGTGGAGGTACATTTAGTTGTTGTTGATGAGGCAATAAAGTCAGCTCTACATCAGATGTATTAGGGGTTACCTTCGACAATGGCTCTGAATTACTACTCTGCCTCACATCTGTCGCTCAGAATTGACTCACATGCAGTTTAGGCTCAACTTCTTTACTCTTTCTTTTACCGTGCTGATGAGCTTCATCATTATTCTTCCTCGGTTCTTCAAATGGGTCCCCAATATGAATTCCACTTCTTTTGGTTATGGCCTTGCAAGCTCCTTACCATTTTTCTTAGGACTTTCAGTGTCATTGGGTAGTGATCTTGACAATCGACTATTTAGAGCATTAGCCATTTGTCCCATCTGATTCTCTATAGCCCGTAATAAGGCATATTGGCTCAACATATATTCTTTCATCATGGCTTCAAAAGGTGTCAAGGTTGAAGATTGATTCGAAGATTGACCTTGATAATTTTACCTTTGATGTGGCTAAGTGACAGATTGATGTACCTGCTGCTTCGACATTTGATTATACTGAGTGTACTGATGATGTTGATATTGTTGATATTGTGGGTTGGCAACATTCTAACTCTCCAAGATATATTAAGATGATTTCTAAAATTTGGGTTGTATGTGTTGTCAAACACGTTATCATCCCTTTGATAATTTCACACATAGTAGATGGACTCCGGATTTTGGGCAATTCATCAAAATTATGGTCATCACCACAATATACGCAAGTGAAAAGAGATGCAACTTTACCTTCATACATTCCTCCTGGTTTGTGTAATTTCTTCACCATTTCAGTCAATGTTGAAATCTGAGAAGCCATAGAGTTAAAGACTTCTGAGTCTACTATCACAACACTATGTCTACCAAACGTATTGCGTGTATTAGGGTATTGATAATTGTTGGTGGAGATTCTCTCTATGATATCATATGCTTCATTGTACGTCTTATCTAGCAAAGCTTTATTTTCTGAGGCATCAAGCACTATACAATGTGTATATTCAACCTACTATAAAATATCTCTATTTGAGTCCAATATAGGAAACTATGCATTAGAAACTTTCACATCAAATCTTTAAATCTCTCACATTCTTCATACAAGCTTTCATTATCCATCTGTTTAAATGAAATCAAGTAATTTCGAAGCTTAGCATTCATATTCGGTGGGTTAAATCGAACAAGAACTTTGAGCTAATTCATTCCAAGATGCTATAGCACCTGACGGTAGTGAACTCAACCAAACTCATTCCTTATCATGCAATGAAAAGGGAAATAGCTTTAACTTCAGGGCCTCCTCCGGAACACCTTGCTGAATAAATGAATTGTAAACCTTTATATAAGCTCGCAAATGGGCTTTAGGGTCTCCAGTAATAGAACCACCATATTGTCTCATGAATTGTAGCATTTGGAATATAATTGGCTTTAATTCAACGTTTACGACATTTATGCTAGCCCCACAATGCCTGAATGCATATCATCCAATGTCGGCACCATATGCTCACAAATAGGATAATTATGATCATCTACATTCTGATTTGGTTGCCCAACTCTGACTTCAGCTGGCAACTCATCATGCTCTCCATTCTACAGCGGGGGTAGAGCATTGTTAGCATTTCCAACATTCATATTTGCTTGAATTCTAGTAGCTTCTCTTTAACGGCATCAGAAAGTTCATTCTATCACTGGATCAAACGGCTCTATCTCGTTGTCACTATGGGTCATAAACTAACAAAACTAATAAAGATAAGTATCTACAAAAAGAAAGGAAACCAATAAGTAAATAAAATAAACTCTAACATAAAATTGATGCTCCCAGGCAACAGTTCCAAAATCTTAATGATATGAAAATGCTATAGAATACAACACAAGTGCACGTATCACAAATCAAGTAATAAAGTGGAAACTACAAGAGTTTCGGATGTCGAACCCACTGGAGGAAAATTTTTATATTACAGTTTTTTACAATAAGATGAATTAAAGGAGTATGATGCTAAAGAGAAAGTAAAGAAATCAATAGTGAATGATATCAATTTATGCTACAACATTACAGAAAGCAACATGTTAGTTATCAAATCAACGAATAGGATATTATGATTTCCAAATTCTCTGCAAACTTTGAAAACATAATTTATGCAATCATCATTGATTAAATCTATTTGAAATACTTTAATCGTTTTCACCAATTAAAGATTCAAACTATTAACAATACTAATCAATTGGATGTACTTTTTTTAGTGTACCTATGCTACTCAGCAACACCAATGCTCACACAAATATATAGCAACTCGAATGAAAATACTTCTAGATTTAAATGAGAGTACATATATGTAATTGAAAATATTTATACTTACAATCATGAAGTTCAAAGCTAAAAAACCAAGTACCCAAGAGAACACAAAATAAATAAATCCATAATAAACATCCACAATAGTTTAAACATTCAAAACACTCTCTCTCTTAATATGAGGTGTTAAATAGTGACCCGCTGATCGCTGAAGCTCTTCGTCAAGCTTCATTTCTGCTGCAACAATCCCTGGTAGAGGATTTAGGCATCCATGGCTTGAAGAGAAATAACATGGAAATGATACTTTGGATCTTTCACAATCGCCACACTTTTTGCACCCAAGTATTCCCCTTTTATAGATTGAACAAAAATCTTATCGCCTAATAGGATAAATCCATGTTTCAGGTGTTATCCATCCACATGACAACTACCAGCACCAGCTGTCCCAATCCAGAAGGTTCTTCTAACCGTCTGGAGTTTAGACGATCGCTACAACATCTGATCAGTATTTCTTACATCACTACAACATCAGTGCAACAGTTTGTAGTAATAAAAAATCAAGTTTAGCCCTTAACAACCCACTATGCTCCTAACATGCAAAATATGAAAAATCAAATAATTTTAATCCTAAAATGATCATAAATATGCTTAAGTTCAAACTAAATCTAGGTAATCAAGGCTACTAAAGATAACTCATTTGGAGTTATCAGTGACCAAAACTAAGGTAATGTATTTATATTCTTAGAGTATCTATATGGACCATAATATTTAGATTTTTGAGTTAGAGGCATATTTTATATAAATAGTATCATGGATTTAGTTTTGGATATAGATGATAATTTTGATGTTATAAATGGGGACTATGTATGTAGAGATTACCCTAGCGACCATTAATAGCGATTTGAGGAGTAAATAGCCATGTTTGAAACCTTTAAACATGGTTTTTGAGTCTTTAATATCAATTTTTGGATTTTAATATCGATATTAATACAACAATATCGATACCAATTGAGATTTCAGAGAATTTTAGGATAGAAATTTTAGTAGCTAGTTTCGGTATTATTACCAATGAATGGTATCGATACTACTTAAAAATGTGTACTAAATATCAAAATGAGAACCGTTTCAGAGTACCAGAACATCGGTATGGGAACCGTTTTAGAGTATAGATACCAAAATAGTGGTATGAGAACTATTATAGGGTTAGATACTAGGATAATTACAATAAATGTGATGTATTACACGAGATACACACCTAAAAACCACAATGGTGATGTATTGTACGAGATACACACTCAAATACAAGAAATGTGATGTATTACATGAGATATACATCTAAATATGAGAGTAACAGTGTATTGTATGAGATACACACCTAAATACAAGAAATGTGATATATTTCACGAGATACACACCTAAGTATATTAATAGTGATATACTGTATGAGATACACACCTATCTATAAGAATATTGTTTACTAACCATGAGTAGTGATATAATATATGTGTACACCTTTAAAATGGAAGTAGGCATTGGTAAGAGAAATAATACTATCGAATAAAGAAATAAATGTGTAATACCCTAAATCAGATTGGGCCTAAAGTGTCACATTGGGCTATTGAGGTAACCCGTGATTTTCTAAGCCTGTATATTTTCTTTTCAAGCATATTGAATGGTATCAAGAATAAACGTAAATAAATGTTATAAAAATATTTTATAAATCAGATCTCCGTGTCACATAATTTAAATCAAAACAATACAACCCAGAGTTATAAATCTGAATATATGAGTAGGGTTCTATGAATACATATGCCCACTAAGCTACAATACAGTAGTTTGAAGGAGATACTGAAAGTTCTACTGCGACCGTACTCCTCTAATTTCTCAATCTAATAACTTGTAAACAGAAAAACATCTGAAGGTTAAGCTTACAAAGCTCAGTAGTATAATTGCTAATCTAGAACAGCATTAAGAGTTTCATAAACAAAGCATGTTAAAGACATGGTACTAAGCAGTAGGTACATACATGATCTTGATAAAGTGCTACCTACTTAAAGCTTACTTGTTTAACTGAGGTAGGGTCTCGTGCTTCCCTTAATCCTTTACTAAGGGCCTCTCTATGAGTACACCTCTAAAAAGTATCTAACACTAATGACTATAACTATTGCATATTATCTAGATGTGATACTGACACTCCTGTGTATTTCCTGAATATAACACTGACTCTACTGTGCGTTATCTGAATGCAACATTGACACTACTATGCAACACACTATCATCAAACACACAAGTTGAGGTAGGCATCATCGTGTGGCTGAAGGTTATGCATCTTGGGGCACATACCCCTCTAACTTACCTAAGATCCCCTTGGGTATTTGGGGTGAGATCCAGAGCTGTATCGAAAGAATACACCCCACTAATTTACTCCGTTAAGTCTTGGAGCATTTGCGCCCAACTGGCATCTGAAGCCTTAGCACTAACTGGTATATACCTAGACATTCTAACAAACAAGATAATTATCATACTGCTAAAATAACTTGAGGGTCCTGAGTGTTTCCGGAGTGTCACACAATGGCTTGTTTTATGATATTTATCTCTTTAGATATTTTAAGCTATTAATGTTCTCGTTTACTATTCTCCCTAGCTGTTATCTCACACGTTTTCTCATCAAGATCGTCATGCAAATGATTATAAGTATGTTTCTACTTATAGTATGCTCTAATATGGTTGTTCACTACTTAAGGGCATTTTAGTAATTTATGTCTCTATGAATTTCATGAATTTAATGATGATATTGATTATGTTGTTCACTGGCCGTGTTATTTACTGGCCCGGTACCTGACTCGGGTTCATTACTAAGTAGCGATGCTCTAGTTACTGTTAATACACTTTTCCTCAATTCACCCTCGAATTGGAGGGATATCTATACGAAAATCACTCTCTATCACTGTTGCGGTAGACGATTTTGGTGATTCATAATCTAATTATTTGATCATATCGCTTGTCGGTAAACCTTCTACAATGATCCTTCATTCTTAGATATTCGTTGTGTTCAACTGAAGATGCTTGGACGTTTTACACCTGCTATGGTTACTCTGATTGTAACCCATACCTATGAGTATCGGTACCAAAATTGCATTGTGTTGCTGAAATTTAGACCTAGTCTCGAGACCATCACTCCAAGTCTCGAGACTGAAGGGGCACTATTGATACTCTCATAGCAATATCGATACTCATTGCTTGAAATCCCTAAATTTTATCCCAAATTATCCAGTATCGATAATGTTCATCCAATATCGATACTTGAACCCATAAATATCCTATTTAAGCTCGAGAAAACACCCAAAACCACTCTAAAGGCTATAGTTTGGTTCCTAATCATGTTCTAATGTTGTGGATAGTTATTTAGGGTCTTAAAGTTTCATAAAACACATGTTTTACAACAAATTCGTCAGCTATTGCACGAATCAAATATAATACCCTAAAATACTCAACCACCAAAATCTCAACAAAACATCATGCTTATGAAAGTCTTAACACTCCAAAGGATTAGAAATACACTACATTGGTTAAAAAATCCCCAAATCAAGCTCCTTTAGCTAGCCACCACTCTTTTTCATGGCTTAGATAAAAATCCCCATTTTTTCTCTTACAAACAAGGAACCCAAGGATTTAAATCATTAAAACGATGTTGCTGGAGAGATTAGGAATGAAATTGAAGCTTAAAAGAAGTGAGAAATGGCTCAAAAGACTCACATTCAACTAAGGCACTTGGAGAGAAAATGAGAATGAGAAGAAAACGAAGGGAATAAGAATAAAAGAGATATAAAAGCCCTCATCTATTAGAAATGGGCTAATTACACAG